CCCGGAGGCGGACAGGTATCCGAGAGGCGTCGTTAAAATACAGTCGGAAAGCCTCCTGACTGCAAACCATCCAATGCGCACGGTGACGCATGACACCCTGGATTAGGGGGCCGTTGCAACTGTAACTACTTACGCAGAAGAACAACAATGAGGAGAGGAAAGACTTTCTGGACTAACGAAAACTGTAAATGATCGAAAAAATCATAATTGAAGAGTTTGTTGAAAATTCGAGGCGTTTGTTACTAGCATAAAAATGATTTAACCTATGGGCATGGTTGTCTACGTACAGAAGGATCAAGAGTAAAAGGACATATTATATACACTTTGCTGGTGGAAAGTCGTAGAGGAGAGGGACTATTTGCAAAGTTTTTTGACCTAAACGGACAAGCGGTTGCGACGTCAACTGTCTAAACTAGTTGGACTCTCGTTCCTTATTTTAGTTAAAACACCACGAACCTTCTTGTACATCCTTCTCTTCTAGCTTCTTGCTGTATAGGCTGCTGTTATATTGACTCATTTATCAGATCGTGGAGATCAATTTTAGCTGTAACTTCGAATCAGGATTCTTTCAAACAGTTTCACGTTCGGATGTTTGGAACTATCGTTGTGAGTATACCAAGAAACCCAAACTACTTAGCGGATATATAAAATTTGATAAATTCTAGCAACGAAAATCGTACGTTAAAATAATTACTTTTGCAAAAGTACACACACGTTGTAACTAGGAGACTAGTAAATAAAAGTATGCACCTAAAAACCCCAATGACATGCTCGGAATTTAAAACAAAAAATATTTGTATGTAAATATTCGCGTAAAATCCAAATTTGCAAAAAATGGAAAAAACAAATTCGCTACAGAAACAAGAATAAAACGAAATCAACAAATTCAAAATTAGCTGTACCGGTAGCTAAATAGAATTCGAATTAGAATTAATAAAGAGGTGCCGCGTATTTGGAGTAAGAACAGTGACATGCAAAGGCGTGAAAAAATCAGTCTCTATTCACTGTTTTGTCCCCCGCGTTGTATGTGGTTAAAAGCTCAGCATCAGACTTTTTCGTTTTTATAAAAAAATATTCTACTACTATTGTTTTCGTCACATAAAAATGCTGTTGGCGTGCGGCGTTGAAACGAAAAAGCTTAGTCTGGTGAAATATATGGTACAATGGCAATTCCTGTCAAAATTGAACTAATAGCTGCCGCTAATTTATTGGTTGCTGCATTTATACAAAGCTAATATTTATTGAGTTTCAAAGGAATTATGGATTTTTTTTTTAAGAAATTTACTTATGAAATTTCGCAACGACCTTGAACTTTTTGTAGTTCAGTTACCCCAAAGTTTAAAACAGTAAAATTTTTAATAGCGTTTTGATAATATTGCTAACATTTTTATTAAATCTTTATTGAATCATAAAATTACAATTAGAAAGGAACATAAATCCAAATACATGTATACGTAAATAAGTATGTAGATCTTTTCGAGGTATGTATTTAGAAACAGGCTCCTAAACTCAGCTCGCACGTAAAAATTGCCAAGTTGAGTACCCAGTTTCCCTGTTATTTTCTATGTCTTTTATCTGCCATCTGAGCACAGCAATAAATCGATATGCAAGTTTCTTAAACTACGAACACCGTTGAATACAAATTAAAAAAAAAAAAAAACGGAAACAAATTTTCTGTATCCTCTTTTTTCGGCATTACTAAATAACTAAATGAGTTCATTTGTCTTTTGCTCATACCTTTGCCATTATGTGTATTTTTCAAGCAAAAAATTTCAACGGAAGTCCGTTTACTTGTAAATCAACCAAACTGTATCGCCTCACGTAGTTGTTCGAGTTCGGTCGCTCTCTTGCCATTAAAGAAAATTTCTTTCTTTCTGCGGAAGTGCTTTTCTAAAAGGCTGATTTTCTTTCCTAATTCCTTCTTCTTATTCTTTCTCTTCCTCGTACTCTGTTACCAGCATCACGATCCGCGTTAAATACTCTCAGAGCGTTTCTGTCCATTCGAACGATATGACCTAGCCAGCGGAGGATCGTTCCGTGTGCAGAAGTCCACGTAAATGGGAAAAGCATTTGACAGCCATTCACCTGGGTTGAAACCCCGCCCATTGAAAAATTCAAACATTCCTAATTTAGTATACAGATATAACATTAACGCTCTTAGCCCCTTGCATCTTTGTTTAATTTACCTTAAACTGGTCTATGCAACTCGTCTTTTAAACAATTTGTAGGATTCTGGTTTACCCCAAAAAACCTGCGCTTCTCGGTAGATCGGGTGGTGTGCCATACTAAGAACACTATACCATTTTCATAAAGCGTGACCGAGAAGCGAACCACTACACTAATAGCGCAAAAGTAAGTTTAGCATTCGGTTATGGTCCTCATGTGGAGCATGTGAATACCAAGGACTCCTATCGTCTGTCATATAAACTACAAGCAGATATCTTTAATGTGAAAATACTTTTTGCGGATCAGGAATATAAATCAGAGGAACCGACATCTTTTCTAATCGGGTAGAACTAAAATGCAGTGAACGAAGCACATAGCTGTCCGGACTGCAACGGGATGCTTTATGATGGCGCCTGAACACCATCGACATGAATTTCTCCTTTAGAAAACGTAACACATATGTCGCACAGCCACTAGATCCGACGTTGTATAGACTGGCAATAAACCACATTCATGCATTGCACATCGAGCTCTCTGAAATACAGAGAACCCGTATTCCGAACCCAATGGCGAGGCTTAATACACATATGGATCTCAACTTGATAATGGTATAACTTGGGCTGGCGTACTTGGACCGAACGTCAAAAAATCGTGTTGGCACGGAAATCCCACAAAATAAATTTTATGTTAGTATATGATCGCTTCAATGTCCTAAACGCTCTTGGAGCCACGAATAGAGTTTTATTAGGATAAAAGACATCATGGCAACGAGTACGCTAACTGTCCAGCGAAACAAGGAGCTACCGCAGTATTTTATACTCCGAAATCCATTTGTGGGCTCACCAAAACGCACATAAAGGGCACCATAAACGATTACACAAAATGTTCTACATGCATCGGAGGAAATGTTCAAAAGAGCTTCATAGAAATAATCTAATTTAGGCAGAGAGGACCTAAAAACTTCACTACTACACGGGACACTGGTAGCTTCGATATCAACTCAGAAAACTTAATCTTTCAGAAACTAGCGTCTGTCGCTTTTGGGAGTAGGATGAAAAGACTTCAGCCCACATTTTGGCGGCCACCTATCGCAATTAAAAAGCTACTGCTGCTTCGAGAGATCCGCGTAAAATTGGCGCGATTACGGTCTGGATGCTGTAGCAAGTTAAAATCCTATTTATCCAGGTTTGAGGGCACCCCACACGACATTAACTATCTCTTCACTCACTCCCTAAACTCATTAATTGTCAGCTAACAACACTTTCACTTTTGTCCGACCCCGTAGAATCATCAACTCTGAATCAATACTGAACGATTGATAGACTAGCCGAGCAAGGCCGGTCTTAGTAGCTCCACTAAAGAAAATATACAAATTTTCATTTAAGTGTGGCTGTTTTCTAAGGGTAAATGCAAGGTTATAAACGATTTAAAGAAGTGTGAAGAATTTCGTTCAAATGTTTAAAGGAAGTGCGAAGAAAGCGTTAGAAAATTTTTAGACTTCAAATGAGGAGGATTTCTTACGAATATACAATATTTTAAAAAGATTGCTTCGGGTTTTTGTGGTTTTTTTTTTGCCCAATACTTAATTCGCCAAAAGTCGCTTCCATCAAAATTTCTTGCAAATAATAAGAGACAACTTATAACGGTTTTCTAAAAATAAAACTATCAAAAGTTCAGCGCGAAGATCATTAAAATATTATTTGGCTAATAAATCACTTGCAAACATAGATCAGATAAGCGAAAAAATCCTATAATACAAATTGTGACGCATGAGTCACGCAATTTATGGATAAAGCGGACACGAGCCCCCATTACGTATAGGAATCATTGGCTTAGAACTCATCAATTATTCAAATGGCAATACGCATAAAAAAAACTACAGCCCTTTAAAGCCTCAATCCTACGGTTTTGATATTTGTGTAAACATGCCCGATATGCGTTAGTTTCATTAGGATTTGCATATTTATTTATGGAAATTCTGGAAATCCCAAAGCGAAGAATTTCGTAATCAGTTTGAGTACGATTCGAATCATGAAAAAAGTATTTAACAAAATTGATAGACAAGTTAGTAGATAGTTGTTGAGTACGCAAAAAAAAATGATTAGTATATTGAAAATTATATTAAAAACTGTATGTATAATAAGGAAAAATATTAACATAAAATAAATTTAGTAACCAAACCCTCTAAATATACCGCCAAAGTAGTTAATAAAAATTCCCAGTCGACATAATTTGCCTTAATGAAATCTACGCAAAATTGTAGAAATCAAAAGCGCAAGCGCAAGGTTGACGGTAGAAACGCAAGCGTATGCAAAAATTGCCAAGCTTAATAGCGCAGGCTCGTTGCCGCAAAACCAAAAATCGACGCATGATCATGGAATACATATATCGCCGATCGTACTCTCACTCGTCTACCGATAATGTTTGTTGTTGCCGTATGATCGGTAGCAGCAATTGCCACTACTGGTAGGCGGTGTGCGGGCAATAACGCAGCGACGCTCGATTCCGACTCCGAGAACATTGCCTGCATGCTAAATAGTCCTCCACCACAGCCGGAGGAGTAGCGTAATTGCCAATTACTCTACGATAAAATAAAAACAAAATTGACGAAAAATTATAAAACAAAAACTACGTTCCCACTTGGTTACTACTAACAAATCGCGTACGATTTCGATTATTGTTTTTTTTTTCCTTTTTGATTTGTCGCCCACTGTCCAGCTGCTCATACAATGTCCGCTGCGGCACGTTGCCTATTTCGTATATTTGTATGCGGCCCATTTTCGTATATAAATCTAACGCGAATCGTTGGAAAGACATCACTTCTTTGGTGGAAACTTAAGTGCAAAGTTTAGCTCCGATCTCTCGCGTCTTACGAGTGAAGTGAACATTTTTAATTCGATTTGAAAAAAACAACTATTCCACCATTTTTTAAGGATAAAAGTCAACAGTTTTGCATTCGCTTGTGCTTATACTTCTCATCAACAACAACAAAAACTTGAAAGTGTACAACATGAAATTCAACGCAACGCTGGCTTTAATTGTGATCTGCGGCTTAGTGGCCTGCAGTCAGGCTTTGCCCGCCAAAAAGAGTATGTTTCACTGATAAATTAAAAAAAAAAAACAGTTAAAATCAATAATTTTAAATAATTTCGTGATGTAAAATTTAAAAAAAAACTTATTTTTGAAACTGCAGTGTTTTTAGTAAAATTAATTTTTTGTATTTCAAAAAGTCCTGATATTTTTCTTATTTTCAAAAAAATACTAAAAAAAATTGCGTCTATATTTGCATATTTTTAGCGGTTTTCGTTTAAAATTTTTTAGCTACTGCTTTGATATTTATTTTTACTTTGCAAAAAAATGTATTTTGATTAAAATAAAAATCTCTAAACTTTTGTTTGGTTTAAATTGTTTTCCTTGTAAAGTAAATTAAATATTTTTCTCAAAAAAATTGTTTTTAGTTAAACTAGTATTTTGCTATAAGAATTTTTAAAAGATGTATCTGCTTTTTTCAATTTTTTTCTTGTAAATTGAATTAAATAACTTTCTAATAAACATTGTTTTTAAGAGAAATCTAGTATTTGGGGATTAAAAGTTTCAAAATTTTTATTTGAATCCTAGGAAATTTATAAACTATTTTTCTTCGAAAAAAATTATTTTCGTAAAAAATAAGCTCCTGAAATAAACATTTCTATACATTCGAAAATATCTTAGTTTAAACTTCTGGCTGAAAATGTATGTCAATATACAAATGCATATTTACTAAACACTTGTTTTAAAAAATTTTATTACATTTATTTGGAAAAAATTTATGTTTTTGTGCTTCTTTACCAACATTTTGCAAAAGTTAAAAATTTGTAACTTTTTTTTGCTTTTAAAAAAATATTTTTTTTAACTGATTTTTTAAAATTTCGTTTATTAAAAAAAAATATTATAACATTTTTTTTTTTTTTATTTTAATTAAATATTTTAAAAAAGGGTTTGAAAATTTATTTAGTTTTGTGTTAAAACGACGAATTTAAATTATTGTTATTTAAATAAATATAATTTACTTTACTAAAAATGCGTGAAGAGTAAAATGTACTTTTTCTTTAAACAAAAAAAACTTTTTACTTTTCCACGATTAATTAAAAATAAAATAAAATACTAACATATAATATTTCTCGATATTTCCCCAACTCCTCCCCTGCTATTACCACCATTCTAGGATTAGCCTACTACCCACAGCCCGCTGCGGCTCAATACTATGCCGCTCCACAGCGCATGATGTTCATGCGTTACGTGCAACCCTCGTACGGTAATGCCCGCTCTCATCAAGCTGCAGCCGCGCTTGTGGCTGGCGATTCTGTCGCTACCGGCACTTATCTGCAGGGTGAGTTAAACGCTTCCATTTCTGACAATTACCTGCAACACCTTCATCTATCCACCACCTCTATGAATATATCATAAACGCCCAATAAAGATTGTATTCACACAGGCTCCGCTGATGGTGTTGCCGCTGCCTCTGTTCCCGTTGAAGCTGCCAGCTTTTCTGGCGAAGTGCAAGAGGATGCTATTGCCGCTGCTGGTGCCCATGTCGCCCACTCTGTTGCTGAAGCCTATCCCGCTGCGCCCGTGGCTGTGCCTGAAGAAGAACAACACAAAATAACCGTCCAGGTTGATTTGGATCCTGCCAGCGCTGAGGTGAGCGACGACGAAGCTAAGGAAGCCCGCGAATATAGCTACAATGTTCCAGTTTCTGGTCATGTTGCTGGTGGCGCTGATCTTGAGCACAATTTCGCTGGTGAAGCTGCCACAGTTGCTGAGGTCGAGAGTGCTGAACCTGTTGCCCCCGCTGCCGGTGCCGCCGGCGCTGATGCTGGTGCTGCCACCGTTACTGTTGGTGTTTCCGGTGCGGCCGAGTCCGAAGTTCCTGTTGCCGGCAGTGTCTCAGCTTCTAAGGGTATTGACGTGAGCATTAACTTGCCTGCTCCAGCACCAATTGCACCAGTCGCACCAGTTGCCCCATCTGTGCCCGTCGTTGCAGCTAAGCCCGCCAGACGTTACTTGCCAGCCAAAAAGAAGGTCATCGTTGAATTGGAACAAGCTGCCGAATCCGAAGATGATGCCGAGAACGCTGTGGCTGTTCAAGATGATGACGATGTCGAAGAGGAAAGCGACGATGCTTACGCTCTAGTGCCAGTCGCTCCCAAGGTGCCTGCTCGCCGTCCAGTCGCCAAAAAGCCCGCGAAGGCTGGTTGCGCCGGCTGCTCAAAGGCTAAGCCTCTGCCGGCTGGTACCTTCTTCCCCGTCGACTTTGGTGGCGCTACCGGTGGTGCCATTGCCATTGCCAATTCCTTCAGCACTGGTGAGGGTGGTGCCGCCACTAGCCACGCCATCGCCTATGGCAATCCTGAACAAGCACGCACTCACTTGCGCCCCAGCAGACGTCACTAAAAATCTGTCGCGCATGAAATAGAATTAAAAAAAAATTTGTGAAATCATTACCCAGTAGTGCAACGCAAATGACTTGATAATGTAATGCCAGGACGAATTACTTGTAAAACCCTTTTAACAATTGTTTCTATTAATAATTATTTTTATTTTTACCTTCTTAGCCCAATTGTACATGACGACCCCACAAAAAAAAAAACAAAAACTGACAAATTAAAACCTTTTATCCTTAAAAATTAATGAGTTTTCTTGCTGAAACGGTAGATTGGGGAAAGTTTGAGGGGTAAACCTGAGGAGAGAATCTCCAAAGCGAAAAACACAAATTGTTTTCGAAAGAATGAACTGATCATTAGCTTGAATACGGATATTGGGTTTTGAGATTGGCTTAAGGTTTTGCAATGCCTAGTGGGTATTTATGCATTATCAGCGGTTAATGTAGGGCGTAACGGCCACGTCCAATAATGTTTCCATGAAATAAACTAGAAACTTCTTCGAAGGAAGTTTGGTCAGACAAAAAAGCATAAATTTCTTCCTTGAAAATGAGGTCAGAGGTTCTATCATCCGTTAGGAGCTTCAGATTACGCGTTCTTAAGAGCCGTTTTACCGGAGCTCACATCACACATTAATTGGCCCTTGTCTCACAACGCAGTATTGATGGGATTGAGAAACATAGCTGCGAAGGTCGACTTTTTGCGAAGTCAGCGTGGAAAATGTAAAACAACCTCGAAATGTACAGGAACTTCTATCGGAAACATTATGTGAAGGAACTTCTATCGGAAACTTTATGGAGCACACTGGCTATTTCAACTTTAAAGCAACCCTGGAGTCTAACGACTACTTTTTTCGCCAGTCTAGGAGTGGTTCCTTCATATGGCGTAGGTATGATGATTATGTCCGGGTCGAATCTGGATAAGGGAAGGTCAGACTTGCTGCAGTGTCTAGACCATTGCGCGCATCTCTCTAGGCAACTGAAGCTCTTACCCTGCAACAGATGGAAAGCTCGTAGAGGTGGGTATTTTCTCTCGGCGAATGTCGGTAACTTATAGTCTATTCTTACACGTTGCCCAAAAAGTATAATCGAAAGAGAACGATACCAGCTGGCAGCGGAGGGAATCGAATACTTTTACATAGGTCAAACAGTGTCCTCGGGACCATTGTTAATTCGTTTGGATTTGATGTTTTGGAATTCGACCGACGATCGCACAGATAGTTGGGGATCCACTGCTTCACGCGAAAGGTTCGAGCATACGATAGCTTCGAAAAAAATTGCGTTGTTCACCGTGAAGGATAAAAATAAATAAATTATCCATGGCGATTGTGTCGAAGGCTCACTGCGACAATTATCGTTCTATTACATAGCCGACTTTGGAGGCTTTTAATGCTGTTGCTTCGCTGAGCATTTCGCGGAATCTATGCTGGTGGTCTGCTAGAAGCAGATGTTTATTCAGGCTTGGGTGGAGTAGCGCTTCATTTATCTTTGCCACAGGGGTTAGAAGGGAGATGTTGTTGCTGTTGTTGGAGCGGCTACAACCAGCGTTGCAGAATTGACGATTTCGTCGTCATTTTGACGTTTTTTTAGCTCAGTGACGTTACCCGCGTATTGACGATTTTTTTTTAGTTTGTCCATTTAATTATCAGGCCGATTATGACTTTTCTCTCTTTTCCCTTTCCTCCTATCATGAATAAAAAATCCCAGAGGATTTTTTTTAATAGATGGCGGAGCTGAGCTGTCAAAAAAGTGTCAAACAACTTTTTCGAAGTTCGAATTTCCTCCTCCCAGATTTTCGGTGAAAATGCTACTCTCTCGGAATTAAATATTGGAGGATTTCTTTCTCGGGAGAAACAAATTCCCGGAGAACAAACTCCCCGGGAATACTAAGAATTGGGCATATCGTCGTTTAAAGTACAAAAAAATGGTATTTGGCCGATTTATGCGGCCAAAACTATTTTTATGAATATTTCAACTCGATATGTTTGGAAAGACGTGTTTTGACATATAGAATTGTAAATTTTTAAAATCAAGTAAATAGAAGAGGAGGACGTCCAATTATTCCAGCAAAACAAAGAAAATAAAGTTTCTTAACGCTTGACATCGATAGACTCCATGTTGCCGTGGTCCGATTGTAGGAACACGCATATTTACGTTTTCGTCTCGGCGAGGAGAAGGTTTATATCTAGGCTAAAAACTTAACCGAGTTGCCACCTGTTAAAAAAATTTGTTTAATTCGTTACATGAACCTCCCAGGGTTGCCGCCGGTTTGAAAAATCAAATTTTACTTTAATTTAGGGAATTAGATAATGCAAATATGTATCACAGTTTAGCAGAGCTGTAAAATGATTGAATCATCAGGATCTGCATTCACTCGGAAGTCTTTTCAAAATTTTGATTGTTTGTTGTAACAGCAGGTGCAATCCCGTATTCCTCGGACTCGGACTAGTAACACTGTCAAAAAATAAAAATTCACTCAGAGCGAGAGAGTAACATTGAAAAGTACGGGATCGCTTTCTAGTAAAAAATGGTAACTTCTGTCAACTTCAACATAACCTCCAAATTTTGGTTATAAATTTTTGCGTATTTTATATGTAAACACACTCAGCTCACACATGTAAATAATCCACTAAACAAGTAATTAAATACTTTTCAGCATGAATTAGCAGAGTGCACTTTTCTTTTGTTTACAATTTGGTTGCCAAACACACTACAGCTGATCGTTTGACACATTTACCAGAATCTGCCAGCAAAAAATTCTCGGACTAAAACTGGTAACTTCTGACAGAGAGAGAACCGTATTTACTCTCTTTTTTGTCCTCTCAATAGTCAGAGAATCGATTACGGGATCGCTTTCCAGTAAAATCTGACTATTTCTGACTAGTCCGGACTCGTACGGGATTGCAACTAGCTTTAGATATTCAGTCCATGCTTTTTAAAGCCAACTGCAAACTTTTAAAGGAAACTTGCTGTAAATTTTTTGTAACGAAGCAATTTTTTATATGTACAATATGATATTTTTATTCCCAATACCAGGCGCTCATGCATATGAAGTAGCAAGCTTTCTATACGTATAAATTTCTGTGTTCGTATGGAATAGTAGCTTATGTCGGGAAGCTGGCTTTAGTATAATGCGGCATTCCCTTTAGTCTTTAAACCACAAGGAATTTTTTGATGAGCCTTAATAAGAATGTTGACTTGCTAGTATCGGAAATATTTCTTGCACGTTTATTTGCCAAAAGTTCTTCAACGGCGCTTGTGAGTCATTCGCAATCGTATACTGCGAATGCCGCATTATACTAAAGCCAGGCTTTCGACATAAGCTACTATTCCATACGAACACAGATTTGTTTGTAGAACTTTTTATTTTTTATTCTTTTAGAAGCCTTTGAACTTTAAAAAGTAGAATTTTGGAAATTTATAAATTTAAAAAACTTGTTACTTCACATGTATGAGCGCCTGGTATTCTTCTTCTTCTTTGTTGGCGCTGTAACCGCCTAAGCGATTTTGACCGAGTCCAAAACCGCACGCCAGTCGTTTCTCTTCTGTGCCAACTGACGCCAATTGGAAATGCCAAGTGAAGCCAAGTCCTTCTCCACCTGGTCTATCCAACGCAGAGGTGTTACCAGCATCACGGCCCGCGTTGAATAGTTTCAGAGTCGGAGCGTGTCTGTCCATTCGAACGACATGGCCAAGCCAGCGGAGCCGCTGAATTTTAATTCGCTGCACTATGTCTATATCGTTGCAGAGCTCATACAGCGCATCGTTAAATCGTCTGCGATATTCGCACTCACCAACGCGTAAAGGTAAATCTTTCACTCGAAAACTCCAAGAGCCGCCTCATCAGATGCTTTCATTGTCCATGCCTCCGAGCCATACACCAGCACAGGCATGATGAGTGACTTATAGAGTGTGGTCTTTGTACGACGATAGAGGACTGTACTTCTCAATTACCTACTCAGCCCAAAGTAGCACTTGTTGGAAAGAGTGATTCTGCGTTGGATTTCAAGGTTGACATTGGGAAATGAAAATATCGTTTTTTAAAAATAAAAACTGGTCATAAAGAGTGGCCGCACAAAAATAGGCACATATTATGTATTTTAAAAAAGGACATTATATGTATGTGGATAAACCATGGACTGAATGATGAAAGCGATGCGATGGCTGTTATGCATGATTTTTCATGTTCGGCATATTTTCCCATCTTTAAAAGAAAAATATTTTAGATACTAATTGTCGTGGAACATTTTGCACTCAGTTTTTAAACAACCAAAACTTCAAATTTGTGCAATATGTTCAAATGAATCAAGCTGCGTTTCATGCGTGGAGGAGTCCAAGCATAAGCATCCATTCGTAGTACATGGCTTCGCCCGCGTGGCCGCTGTGCATGGACGTAGTGTTGCGTATCATTCACCTCATTATTCCATCATCTAAATTTAGATATTTTTCTTAGTGTATAAAATTTGATTGGAACTGAGTTAGAGAATGCACACATAGCAAAGTGTGCATTCATTTGGAAGCTAATTCAGTGTTGAATTATGTTTACTTTAGCATTCTGAGTTTTTCTTTCAGGTATTTACCACCTTGCTGTGTGAAATAAATTTTTGAAGTGAAACTTCTTTAGCGGCGGTTGGTTGGTTGGGAGTAAATTGGCAAATTCAACGGAAATTGCACACGGAAATGGTGCAACGGAAATGACGCAACGGAATGGTGGAAATGTTAAAGAATAACACTTAGAAAAAGACCAATACAAGAATGAAAGTAAAGGTGAGTACGTACATACATAGATAAAGAAAAGGATAAAGGCAAAGGTAAATTAAAACCAAAAACAAAGATGCTAAAGATAAAGGCAAAAATGAAGACCAAGGTAAATTTGAACACTTTTCTTATATATACATATAAGGGCAAAGGTGAAGGGGAATATGTAGATGAAGAAAATGATAAACATAAAAGTAAAGACAAAGAGGAGGATGAGGATACCGATAAAAGTAAAGATGAGAGAGAGACACACTCAATCTGGGAACTATTTTGAAAATTTAGAGATTTTTGGGATTCTCGAGACTTACCGATGAAATAATCGACATTTTTATCGGTTTTGTTATCGATATTTATAGATTTTGTTATCGATATTTATCGACTTTTTACCGATATTTATCGATTTTGTTATCGATATTTATTGATTTTGCTATCGATATTTATCGATTTTGTTGT